ACTGGAAACGTACACTTCCACAGCGTGAATAATAACTAAGACTCGACTAAGGTTTCTTGCGCTATCAATAAATCACCAGTTGATTCTTAATTCAACGTAAGATTTTCTGATCAAATTCTTGAGACCACTGAATCAAATCTGTACTATTTAATTGTTTCGCAACAACAAAAAAAACCTATTCGATTGTAAGAAAACTGCGTGACGCTGTCAGGAGCCGAGGGCCAGGCGGCTTTGCTTGGTCGGAGGTTTGATGCGATTTCGGTGTTTTGGTAAAGAATTGGGTGAACTAGTCGATGCTTATTTCACCACCAGGGTGTCACTGAGTAGGCGAGGGTGTCGTCGACTAGACGATGCCTATTTCATCGTCGGGGCGCCACTAGTAGGGTAAATGTTACGTGAGCTAGCCGAAGCTCGCTTTATCACCGGGGCGCCACCAGGTTTTAGGATAGGTTTTCGTGGACTAGCCGATGCTTATTTCATCCCTGGGTGTCACTAGGTAGGCAAGGGTGTCGCGGACTAGCCGATGTCTTTTTCATCATCGGGGCGCCACTGTAAGCATTGGAGGATTGTAAGGATTTCGTGAACTAGCCGATGCTTGTTTCATCATCGGGGCGTCGCTGGTAGAAAAAATCGTCATCTAGCCGATGTTTATTTCATCACCGAGACGCCACTATAAAGGTAGGAGCTTCGTGAACCAGTCGATGCTTATTTCATCGTCGGGGCGTCATTAGATATGGAATGGTAGAGATTTAGAGTTTGGTTGTCTCGTAACTTTCACAAAGAAGAAATGAAGGTACATCTCGAACGCTAAAGATGTATCTCTGTGGATTGTGCCTGCTTCGAATCAGGAAATGGAATAATTGAATTTCACAATTAAATAGACTGGAAAAAGTTGGTATATTACAAGCTAACGATATACAGTAAATTCTCCGTAATTGACGCTCGGATTGTAGACAAGAAAGGACAATTTTGGAAGTGAAGATACAATTATTCGAGCCTTGCGGCTCGTTTTTATAGTTGTGACAGTCGGTACGAGCCGCAGGCTCGGATAATCGTATCTCCTCTTTCCAAATTATCTATTTTTCTACGCAATCTGAACGTGAATTATGGAGAATTTGCTGTACTCGGTTGAATAGCTCGAAAGAGTATCAGACTCGATCTTGCAAGTGTTTCTTCGTCTATTTTCGACTTGAAACTGGACCCGATTTTAGTCGCGTTTAGGCCCTTTATACACCCAAAATTTCCTTAAAAAACGGTAATCGGGATGTGTCCATATGTGCTCCAATCATCATCGTATCCTTTCGAAGATACTTGACTCACAATATACAGAGCGAAGGAGGAGTGAAAGGAGTAAGAAAAATACGTCGGTAAATACTCCGTACGTTGCAACGCGTAAAATAACGTATTGTAATTTTGCGCATCGAACGTCTATTTAAAGTAGCAGCCGAATACGCCAATTAATAAAAGCATTAACTTCTTTATCGCGTAAAATAAAATATTTCAACGTCAACCCATCCGATGCTTAAGAAAATGTATGTTCAGTATATCGTAATCCTCGTATCTGCATTATTCGCATCCTGAATAATTGAGAAAACGTTTCTATTTCGACCGATAAATCACCAATCGGTCCCCAATTCGATATGAAACTTTCGAACGGGGCCGTTTTCGCGCCGTTAAACAAAATCTGTATACCTCGCCGTCCCGCATCAAAGAAAACGAACTCGTTCAATTGGCAGAGAAGTTTGAAACTCGAACCACTTTACCGTATTTCAAATCGAATTTCCCGCAACTTGTCCCGCGTTCTACTTGAACTCGAACACCGCGGCACTCTAATGCCTCGCCGAAAAAAATATGCGTCATTGCGATGCATGATCTTCGCGATCCCGCCGTTGTTCCTTCGACGGAGAGAATTCCTCGGCGCCGGGTTAAAGAACACCGCCGAACGCCAAAAAGTTTCGAAGCCAGAGCTCGGGCTGATCTTCAATTCAAAAAGACGAAGAAATTGCCGGATATTTTCGCTCGGCGGGAAAGGTTATTTCAGCGTTTCCGTAGACGGCGCCGCGCGGCGCGCCGAAACAATTGTTTCGAGTTCAGAAAATTCGCCCCGAAATTCGTCGGAGGGACTCTCCGCGCTCGCTTCGAGCTTTACGCGAATTAAGTGCGACGTTCAACGGGGATAATAGTTCCGGCAAAATCTCTCGCGTGCATGGTGGACAAAGAACCGATCCTGCGTCCCAATTACCGGCGCGTTGTTTCATAACCGCAGCCCCAATAATTAATCGGCGAACGAAGTTCGAGAGCGGAGCGTCCGCGCAGCGCCGCGCCCGGAAATATAATAAAATGTACACTTCCGCGCTAGAACTGTCCGATGCTATCTGACTTGGGGCGAAAGGGGAAAGGCAACAACCCCCACGAGATATTACGTACCAGTCATTTTGCCGTGGCGTGCAGGCTTATTCGATTAATCGATCGAAACTGACGTGACCCGCGACGAAGCGAAGAGGGAGGCACGGAGGGAGAGACTGGGAGAGACTGGGAGAGAAAGGCAGAGAAAGAGGGGGGAGAGAGAGGATGTCTCCGGTAATATTAATGACGTCAACCCGAAGAGAGTTAGAAAACATTGTTTTTTTTCACTTGGCAAATCCAGTTTTAACGAGGGCTCCGTGTTCGTCAATGGACGATCTGAATAGTAATTGGTTGATTGTGGATTTTATGCATTCGCAACGGATGCAAACGCAACGCGCGCGAGTGAAAACGCCGGTGAAAACCGACGATGCTTCTGTTTCACGTTTGATTTATTACAGTTCTTTTTTTTCCGGCGGATCCGCAACATCTGCGGTAATTAGTGATTTCGAAGTTACTTGAAGTGTTACCGAGATTGGCTTCGCTGTAATGGTTTTATAATTGTCAGGCTCGACGGAAGCTCCGTAATTTTTCGTGACGGAGATTCTGCGGATTCTGAAATCGAGACGACGACGGAAAATTTGTTCGTCGTGTCCATTTTTATGGGAAATGATAATCTACTCGAAGACGACAGTTATTATCGTATTAACGTGATGGTAAAAACGCTGTAATAAAAATCGATGAATTTACGCAATACAAAGTACTATCAGTCTTGATTAGGCGATGATGTTCGCTTAAAGTGGACTGATAAAGAAAATCGTGGAAGGCGTGAAAGATGGATTCCTCGTTAATCCGTATCGGAACTTTCTCAGAAAACACAATAGTTATCGACAGCGTCTAATCGACGTAATTAACCGCTACCGTGAAGGCAGCTGATCAGATTTTAATGCGAAAGTAACGATGTTCATCGTGCTTCTCCGACCTACATCGAACGATCGTCTTTCAATTTTATTTCGAAATTATTCATCTTAATTATATCTCTGTTCTTCGAACGTCGGTCGGGGGCTTGTAAAATATTACCAACAATTGCATTATTCACCGTCGACTACGTTCGTTCAACCCGATACACATAAATTTCGTACTCGTCGCATAGATTCCTGCGTTCGCAATCGCGACACAATCGCAATAATAGATACAAATGGATAACGCGTTAAAGTAATAACAAAATGTTTACGCAATAACGAGTTAAATCCAAACTCGAAATTAAACTGTGAAATTAACATCGCACCGCCGATACGTAGCCGTCCACAATGTGCCAACTAATAATAATATTAACGACATTCTCACCATGTAATTTGCTGTTACACGTAATGAAAACGCGATTATTAATATCAATAATTATCCTGCGATTCTGGATAATTAAGTAAGTGTCGTTAATTGATCTGCTAATATCTCGTGCCACTCGACCGATGACAACGTGGCAGCCTTCCTTAACACTTCACGGTTTAATTAGTAGAGTGCGGATTTTATGCATTTCTTTTTTCTTATAAAAATGTCCTCTGTTTCATGTTGTGGAGACATTAGACGAATCTGAGAATATATTTATTATTATACATATGCGACTTATTGAGATTATTAAAAGAGAAAAGACATTTTTATCTGGCTTAAGATTTTTACGATCAACTTAGACATTTTTTACTTTGCATAAAAATCCGCAATCTACGAACAAACCTTTTTCTATACTTTCGAAACACGTAATACCAATAATTTCTACTTATTATTAGTTTCACAAATTATCCTTGCACAGTTTCCGTTCATTTTTCGCTTCAGGCTTGCAATTGTGTTGTAAAACAGGAAACAAGTGAATTTTCATGTTTCTTCATTGCACTGTTGTTTTAAACTACATCTGCTCGTTTCTTGTAAAAAAATGCTTAAGATCCACAATCTACCTATTATTTATAATCTTAATAAAAGCAGAAAAAGTAAAAGTATTCTTCTGTCTACGGTGAAAATCGCTGCAGATTAAAATAATATAAAACATCCACCAATTCTGCAACAGAATTCATTATTATCGAAAAATAACAACTGAGCACGTCCGTAAATTATTATAATATATTCGTTGTTTCAAATTCCATCTTTGTATCATAAATGCACCAAATCCGCAGTTCACCGATTAGCAACCAGCAAAAAAAGTAAAACTTTCGTCCACATCCGAACGTAATTACCGAAATAAATCACAGTGGTCCGCAACACTAATCGCGGTCGACCGGTAAGCTTGGGAAAAAAAAGCCCGGTAATTATCGTATCAGCGGCAGATTTCCCGTTATCATTGTCGGAACCCGAAAATCTATTCGCGTGTCGCGGAAATGGTGTCGCATCGTTCGACGCCGTTATCGCGTCGGTATCAGTTCAAAAATCGCATGATCGCCTCGGTGGTAGCCGTCAGTCGACGCTCGTCGCCCTCCTTAGGTTCTCCGGCTCTCGACGCGCAACGACCGGAGATCGACTTCGGCCGGCCGCGAACGAACGATACGGAAAAACCGTGGTGGAATAAGAAAAGCCCGTGAAACAAGACGAAGAATCTGTCGCGGTGTTTACCGCCCTGTGTAGTTTCTGGTCGCCTTTAAAGAACTTCCGTTTTAATTTATTCCCGGAAGCAGGCGCATCCGTGACAGCGGCCGACTCCGCCGGTGGAACAGGATCAGAAGGAAAAGTTTCTCGGCTGTTCCCAGGGATTACCTTCCCCATCGTCGGGCATGGGTTGCTGCGGCTGCTCGGACGAGACCTCGTCCAAAGTGGAGCCCACGGTAAGAATTATTTTTTATGATTCCGCCCCCCGCCCCGACCGCCACCGTTACCCCTCCGCGACTGAAATTTCCGCTCAAGTATTTTAATATAAAACTTCGAGCTTTGCTTGTCACGGTAAACTGAACTGCACCGGCTCCGAAGAGTGGGGGCCGAAGTCGGGCCCCCCTCCCCCTTCTGAACCCTCGGGGTCGTAGAGTCAGCCCCCCAGAACACCGGCACTCGCGTGTCTCCGCTCAAATCCCGCTGTTTCTGCTCTGTTTAGGAGAAAGATTCCTCAAGAAAATTACGCAATTACGTTCGTTGCGTCGTTCCTTTCTCTGATTTGCAAAACGAGGTTTTCGTGATTGCTTATTCTTGTCGCGTTTTGTCTCCTTTGACGGGTCGCGGGCAATTTTTCTTGCTAAATTGCGAATTAACGATGTTATAGGATTTAAGTAGGGTAATTCCGTGTGAGACGGCCCTCCTTTTTTTTTAAGTCTCACTTTTTTCAAAGTTTTAATACAAGGGTGGTCCACCCTTAGGGTTCTACCTAAATGTCTCCTTTAATAGCGACGTACATAAAACGATGCAAAAGGTAGCTTTTTTCAAGGCCATAGTTTTTCGGAGTTCGCGAGGTCGTCGATGTTGATCTAGATATAACTGCATGTTATTTTATTGCATAGGCAACGTTTCGCATAGGTATCGATTCTCTACATATATTCCTGTGCGCTTTGTAGCTATGTGCCACAATCTGTGTTGCAGATAATATTCTAAATTTACTATAACTTTCCTTTGATATTCAGTTTGCATCGCTATACAGAATAAACATTTACTGATTATTGCAGAACAAAAACGATTCACTAGTTGAGCCGTTTATTTTGAAAGTGGCATAAGTCACTTTACCGTAATGAAAAGTGGTGATTTTTTAATGTTTATACGAAATTATTTATACCGAGAAAAATATCAGTATCCTGAGATAACAAATACAAGTAAATCTTCTCGAAAGTTAGCATCCATATTTTTAAACGTGTTAAGACGCAAACCCTTAAATATATCGACTTAAAAACAAAGTGACTTACGCCACTTTCAAAATAAACGGCTC